ATTTAATGCCAAACTGTTTAAAATGTAAATAATACTTATGTTCTTTTTCAGATGTATAGGCTCACACTACGAACAAGTAAAGAAGCTGTATCTCAGAGATTATGTGAATTGCTGTCAGAACAGTTTTAATATTAATCATGTCAGTTTTGGTTTTTCCATTTATATCACTGTCATCATACTGCAAATAAATGTCTTGTACATCACTGTCTGAGTACTGCAATGTTAACCAATACCAGCTCCCTGCCTTAATAGGACTTGACCCTTGTTTAAAATTAAGACTATAAAATGTACAGTACATGGAAGTGACTTTTTACATTAAAAATGGCTTTTAGTGTGTTACACAAAGGGTGGGAGGGCTGTCTTGTGCTCCTTTTTCTTGCAGAGGTCAGGCTTTTAACTTTGCTAAAGGAAATTCATTTAGACGTGGTAACCAAGGATTTCAACTGGAAATGGCTAGTAACATTCTGCCTTAGTGCCTTTAACAGGTACTTGCTCTGCTCCGAGTTGAAAGTAACCAACATAACGCTGCTCAGTAAGGTTAATTCAGATATTAATGTAGAGTCAAAACTTTGTAAAGTTGAACAAGTCTTGTACTGGGTGGAATGGCAGATTCCAAGATGTGTTTGAATTGGATTCAAGTGAGTGAACATTTATGTTGATTGTCATCAATCTTTGTATTTGAAAAATGCCACAGGACCAGAATTTTAGACTATTTATCTTGTAATCCTTTACTTCTTAATGTTTTCTGAACTTTGGAAAGTGGATTGAACACAAAAGCTATTCTTAAGCCTTCTGCTTATCTCAAGTACTGAGGTGAGCTTGTTTAGTAGGTGGTGAATGAGTACATGCTTGTTCATTGTTAGTCAAACTGAAGTTAAATATTCTGTTTTGTGTTTTTTCTGTTTCCCATCAGACTTAGCAAGTCATAGTCCTAATGATGTGATATAACTAACCGCAGAGTCTGGTATTGCACAAAAGGAGGAGTGAGAAGAAATGGGCCCTTGAAGGGCTGTAAGGCATGTAGTCTTAGATAAAAAGTGTAATTTTAAACTATTTTTTCCCCAGTGTAGAGTAATGTTAAAACTCGAGAGGTTGAATAACTGATATCTGAACAGTTTCCTGTCTGTCAGTGGTGGTAAAAATATCCAACATGGTGTAGAGACTTGTGTTGAGACCGAGAGTAGAAGGTCCAAAAACGCTCAGCTTTTGTAGTGGCTTTTATGACCAAATCCTTTGTAACTTGCTTTATGTCAGCAAACTCTTGGCAGCTTCTCTGCAGAAGTAAGTGGACGCAATTTTGGCTCATGCTGTTTAAGCCTTGAGGTGCAACAAAGGCTGCTAAAGCAAAGCAGGTGAGGTCATACAGTTAGAAACTGCGGGCAGTTGTCGGCGAGTACTGTAGGTCATGATGAACGAAATCAGCTACTGCTGATGTGAGAAGTGAACCTCAGATCAAGATTTCCTCAAGATTATTTAAAGGAAGCCTGGGACTGCTCTCTCACAACACACACAGCCAAGTATGCCCATGAAATAAAGGTTTTTAGTGATAGTGATGACATTGAAAACACATTTAAATGAGGCTCCTATCATGTTGCCCAGTGCACAGCAGGGGACAGGGATTCTACAAGATTGAGTGTGCCTTGCTTTTTTTTCTTCAGTGTTTTGAGTTAAATGATGGAACTGGGTGATTATAATTTGGTTTGGTTGAAGGCTAGTGATCATACTTGAGTGCAAGTGCAAAATGAAGAACAAAGGTTTGGCTGTGGTGTGTGGGTTTTGGGGATGGGGGTGTGGGGGGGTATTGTTTAGTTTTTCCAGAAGTTGCTGGTAACTGAATGTTACAACTGAAAACTTGGCTATAGTCATGGTCTTTCTGCAAAAGTTCTCTTGAACAATTGGCCTTTTTATGGCCTTTCAAATAGCTAATCAAGATTCTTTGATCACAAACATTGTCTTTGAAAATCTTCATGAGCAGTTCCTGCAGTCAGGATGGGCAGCTGGCAAAATACTAATTGTCCTTTGGATGCAGTGTGTCTCTATTAGTCCTGTTATCTTAACCGTGCTGTTGGCTGCTACATTACAAATCTGATGTGCTGAACTAAAGGGAGTCTTAGCAAAGACAGGGGAGGAGCTTATATTTCATTTTTCCAAATCCTGTTGTATATCTGTCCCCCTGAAAATGTTCTGTGCCCTCATTAAAGGACACCTTGAGACACTGCACTACTTTAGTTCACTTTGCTTTGGTTCAAGCTGTGCTAAAATGTGCATTAAAAATGTGCGAAGAAGGGGGGTGAGGGAAAGTGTCTTTTCAGTGGTGACTGTGTTAAGCTTATGACTGTTCACACTTTGTATTAAATGTCAGCTCAATGAAGCCATGAGCAGAAAAGTGAACAAATTCAGACAAATACTTGATTATTTTTTTGTGAATGATGGTTAACTTACCAAAGTGATGTATCCTGTCAAGCAGACAAGTAATTTCTGCAGTAAACAGTGTTATTGTTTTTAAGTACAGTATTTTCAGGCATTGACATGTGAAAATAACTGAATAGCAAAACAGGTAGCATATGTTCATTCTTGACCTACACTCCAGTATGTAACATTTATGGTGATTGTCTTATTTGTATAAAACAAAGTTCTGTCAAATTAAGTGGAGAATTTTCATATAGGAGACTATATATTAGACTATATTCATCAGAAGACCGTATTAAGACTAAATAAATGATTAGAACAGTAATCAAACTGTCATTTTTTTGTCTGGGCGCATGGAAGTGTAAAAAATACTTGCATGGAATGGTTGTTATGGAACATGAGTTTATGTGTAATAGTAAATTCTTTTCTGCAAACTACTGGTGGGTTGTGTTCAGTTGAGTCTGCAGATCTCTGCTTCCTCAGTGGATTTGTTTATGGCTTTTTTGTTGGTCTGTTTGGTCACATGTTACAAATACTCTGCTGTAAGGAAAAACAATGTAAAAATCTTTCTTCCTATAGTGTTTTAACAACAGTAAGTATATTAACAGTACATGCTGGTGTAGCATTACAAACTGGTGTAACAGTGGGGTATGGTTGAGGCTATGAAGCACACACCTGTATTACAGGCAGGACTTAGGAAAAAAAAAGTTGACATTGTGTAAAGTATCTAAACTGCTAAAAAAACTCACTCAAGCTTTAAATGTTGCTTCAGATTCTTAATACTTCTCTCAAACTTGCTAAAAAAAACCCCACCCAAAACCAAACCTGGGCACTGTGAGCTTTTGTGCATTCATACAATTTTTTCTTGAGAATACTCTCTGCTAGCAGCAAGTTGAAATTGCTTTTGATGAACTACCCGTGTCCTGTTAGACACACACGACCTTTGATTTTGTGCAGAGAAATGCCCTGCAAATTTTGGCTTAGTCTAAAAGCCACTACATGTCTGTGTTAATGATGTCTCTAGAAATGTCCCGCCACATGAAGGATCCATGTAGAAAGCTCACAATTAGCTTTTGACTCATGGAGCACCTTGCTTTGACAGCAGCTGTGTATGGGTGACAAGCACAGGGTTTCAAAGGAAAGGGAACGGGTCACCTCTGATCTCTCTTTCCCAGTGCAGTAATGGGCTGTTCCACAGGTCCTAGTTCAACGGTAGTGAACCTAATGGACTGTTTTCAGTTAAAATAATTGGTCAAATAATGACAAATAAGTTAGCAAATTCAATTCCTTCTACTTTATTTGAAAGTCAAACTTCTCTTATTGCACATTGTATAGGCCAGTTTTTAGCCACTGGTTAAATATCACCCTGAGCAATGCCAGACAGTCTCAATACATACTGAATTTGGGAGTTATCTGGCCTGATATGAATTCGTTTATTCTTCTCTTATTTCCATAAAGTCTGACACACATTCGATGTTTACAACCTGCTGAACCTGTGCACCTCCATCCACAGTGGGGTCAACAGGTTTTGTTTGAAGATTCAGGCATAAAGAACTGCTTAAGGAAACTGATCAATGAATTGGTAACGTTTATATTAAAAAAGCAAATCCTTCAATAAGCTACATGAGGAATTAGCATCATTCACTCATTCTCTATATGCTACTGAATATTCAAAGGCCAATTCTTGTACAGCAAGTTGGGATATTTTCATACTGACACACCTAGAAGCAATAACCCCCCACAATTCTCAGTTATTTGGATACTCTTAAAGAAAGGTACCCTCAAAAAGATATGAAGGCACGAACAGACTTCACAATAGACACCACTGGATGTGAACATCACAGTGATGCTTTGAGTCAAACAAGCTTTATTACACAGTCTCCCAGAAATCCTAAATTCGCAATACCAAGTGTTAAGGATGAACTGTAAATTAAGAGCTTATTTTATATCACCATCTTTGTGCACATGTATTCCTCTATCTCCATCTCATCTGAGGTTATCTGCTAACACAGGACTTGAAGGATGCCACATCTATACTCCTGCTACTTCATGACAGTGGCGAAAGCTACAGTTACTTTACGTCTTTATTCAGCCAAATTTCTCCTTATTTCAACAGTAACTTTGTGTTTGTAACCAGAGCTTTAAGGAGAGAATGTTCCCTCTCTGCTCAAGGCCTGTTCTTTCTCCAAGAACTTTAGAAAGTTATCAGCAAGTTTCTCATTTCTTCATATTCAAGAACACCATGCCTTGATCCAGCAGCTTTACTATAATTTTGTGTGACATAAAACACAAAACCCAAATAAGAAAACACATGCTACTT